TAATTTATTTTAAAAACTTTTGAAACTAGATTATTATTTTTCTAAATTTTGAAAATTGATCTTATATTTTTTTAAAATTTTACTTAACGGAGATTTAACAACTTTTATTAGTTCATAGGCTAAAATCTTCAAAATTTTAAATTTAAAGATTAAAAGTTTTAGGTTAAATCCTTAATTTGGTCTTTAAACTATTGTGTGAACCCCAATTTGGTCCCTAAATTTAAAAAAAATCCCTATTTGATCCCTAAACTATTGTATGGACCCCTTGATTTGGTATCTACTATTTACCAATTTACTCCAAATTGATCCCTCTGTATAAAAACCAACTGACGTATCTTGTTACTAACGTGACACGTGATCATTAAATTACTATTTTTTGTTGTTAAGTAACGGACACGTTATTTTTGTCTAAAAGAACTAACTTGGGATAAATTGATAAACAGTATGGACCAAATTAAGGGTCCGTATAATAGTTTAAGGACTAAATCAGAGATTTTTTTAGTTTAGGGACCAAATCGAAGGTCTATGTAATAATTCAGGGACCAAATTAAAAGTTTAACCAAAGTTTTATTGTGTAAGATGAGAAATTAAAAATAACAAACTTCATAAACTAAGGCTTACATATAAGCTTTAATCAATTTTCTAAATTGATTGAAGTTTAATCAACTTTCTAAATTAATCAAAATTTAATGATATTATTATAAATAGCAAATGCTATTTCTTTATTATGATCCAAGAACTGAATAAAGTTGATTTCCAAGCCCCGGATCAAGTGGCTTATAAATTTACACAGTGTAAATTGATTAGTATAATATAGGATTTTTCTAACTTATTGTGCATTTATTATATTTTTTTATTATTAATTAGTATGAAAAATTATAAAAATAAATTTTATTTAATCAAATAATTAATAAATTTTAAGTTAATTTTTATTTTTTATATAAATTAATAGTAAAAAAATATAATAAATATACTTTAGATAGAAAATTCCTATATTATAAGATAATAAAATGCCACTTTAAGTAATATATAAAAGTTTATTCTTTAATTAGTTTGGATAGGTATGCAAGTTGCACTTGCAGAGATTTCTTAATACATCTATGAGAACAACCAAGGAGGCAGCCACCAACTACCCTCTTTTACTGGATCCTCTAGTGTCCAATACTCCATTCCATCAGCACAAGGCTTACATTGAACCGTAGTAAAAGTGATAAAACTGAGAAATTTACATGGTTCATGCCAGTAAGGGCAGTCTTTATCACCAGTTGTGACAGTTGCACCCGCCACCAACACAACCAATACAGCTAAATACGCATTAAGGTTTGCCATGGTGCTTCAAATTCGAAGTGGAAGAACGATCTAATATCGCCTGTTTGCGTGCGATGATCGTTCAATTCAACTGCTACGTACGTAGCTAATTAAGCACGGAGGGTGCGTAAGGATAAAAGGTTCTTATATAGCTAGTGCTACAATGAATGCATTTAAAAGGAAGTTTTTTTTTTTTAATGTATATATTAAAAGTGTAACTAATATATATTTATATATATTTTAAAGATTTTTTTCAAGATGTTGGTAGAAGTTAAAATTCTAACAAACAAACTTAAATATTTTAAGACGTGTGAATGAACTATTTGAATTCAAAAATTTGGTTCGTAATTAATATATATTTTTTATCATTAATTTCTATAAAACAATAATAAAACTTGATATTAATTTATCACTAATGTTATAAAAATCATTTTAATTAAATAAATATTACTTTTTATTTTTTAATAATAATTAATATAAAAAAGTTCTTAACATTTATCTTAAAAGTACAAATTAAAAAACCTTTCAAAAAGAATTCAATTAACAGTTTTCTGAGTACTTCAGTTTTAAAAAATTAATTAATTCTGTTCAATTTATAACTCTAGTTTTAAAAACAGTAATTAACTCTGTTTGATTTATAACTGTGGAAATATTAATGGCATTAATTGTTTTATGTAATTTGTAGCCTCTAATTGATTAAAACTTGGATGTCCAATAAAAATAAAATTAAAGTTGAACTGCTTAAAGATTAAAAGATTAAATCTTAAAGATAATTTCCATATTTATTAAAGAGTTTGACATGTGACTACAATTTGAAATGCATTCCTTGACGCAGAACAAAACTTTTACAATTTAGAAACTTTTTAATATTATTTCTTGCATTATTGTTATTTAATGGCATGAGTTGTTGCCAAAAGTCAAAATTTTTGGCTAAACTTTCCTTTCAATGTCTTGGTAAAAATCTACATTGAATCCCTTATTTTATTAAATTTGTTACTCTTAACCCCTTACTTTACACAGTGACCCTTTTAGCTCCTAAATTTAAATTAAAGGTATAAAGATTTTATTACTTATACTAATAGAAGCCACTAACTCTTTGTTAAGTAAAACTACAAAATTATAAAATCAATTCCTAAAGTTTAGAAAAATAACAATTTAATCTCAAAAACTTTTGGTTTACTAATTTATTTTGAAAAAAATTTAGAATTAAACTATCACTTTTTAAAATTTT